TTGGCGTGTGTGAAAAATTCAGATTCAAACGGGAGGTGCCTGTAGGAAGAGAGTGATACATGCTGCTTAGCATTCTCTAGATGGACCCTGACGCTTTGAGGTCCGAGACTCAGGTTCCTTATCACCGGCTCTCAGGCACTCCCTCGGCATCTTCATTCACAACCTGTGGTGGCAGGCTGGTGTGGCTGGTACAGCCTGAAAGCCTGGACCCAGTAGTCTGGACTCAGAACAGTATACGGAAATGACAAACTTTCAGCCCAAGGCATTGGGGGTTTTGTTTTTAGCAGGCTTAGCAGTAGATCTGATCCCCCAGAGAGGGGAACCAAGTTCATCTGAGAAAGAGCTCCGTCATTTGAAAAGTTGTTTATTCCAGGCCTGGCTGTTTACGGTTTCTCAGTGCCTGGATGCTGGCATGGAAGAATGAGCTTGCCTTGGGTGAGCCCAACTTACTCAGGATCTTTTGCCACATGGGGATATGGTTACGCCTCCAAGGGCCCATCCTCAACAAGCTGGTGCTCACTTTTCTAGAGAGGGTCTTCCCATAAGACCCTAGCCAACTCAGGCTCTGGGCCTTTCCACCCTGAGATCTGGAACAGATCAGCCTCAGAGGCCGAAGAAATCTTTCAGATGATCATAGACAGACATGATGACCTGATGCGCTGGTGGGTACTGGGCTCCAGCAAACCACCAGCCCTAGGGTTCTTCCTTTTCCCACCCCCTACAGGTCATGACAGGCCCAAGGACGGTGCAAGTCCAAAGCCAGCTGTGACGCCAGCTGCTCCACATTCAGCCACTGGGAGGCCAATGTGCTCAAAGTAAGTGTCTGTAGACAAAAGGGCCAGACACTCATAAACTAACTTCTTACTCAGTCTCACCAACAATGAGACTGTCAGTTCCCAGCTATGTGAGCAGCACAGTAAACCTTCCTTGGCTCTGCTCACAGCCTGATTTCCCTAACATATAAAGTAGGCTTATTCCACTTTTATCCCTTCCTTCCTTCTCCACCTCCCAGGGCTATGGTAGGGACCAAAGGAAATGCTATAAATGAAAATGCTTTGTAAAGGGCTTTGTAAATTACAGTGTGTTGTTCAGACACTGGTTATGATGATGACGATGATGATTCAATCAGGGTTCTCCATCCCCTGGGTGGCAGTGATTGGTAGGGCAGACATAAACTCAGCCAGTTAATCATAATCAGTCCTTCCCGCCACTTCTCTGCCACAGCTATCAAAGGGGACTGCTTTCTGCTGAGTGTGATGAGTGCTAACCCTGGGGCTGCTGATGGCCACCTGGCCTCCCCCACAAGGAGACTAGAGTTAGAAGCAGAGACACAGAGCCCTCACTACAATGTTTGAGCCCCTGGATACAGCTATGCCTGAAATCAGACCAACTCTGATTTACTGTTATATGAACCAATTTCCCTATTTTTTTTCCTTAGGCTAGTTTGATTTGTGCATCTGACATTTATAACTAAAGGAGAATTCCAACTATCTCTTGGATGCATTTTGATCATTTATATATTTGTTTTATAATCATAAAATAAAGTTTTTAAGGGGAATTTTTTTAAAGTTCGTGTACCTATGAGGGCATGAAGAAGCAGAAAAAAAGCACTGAACAGAAAAATCAAGCAATGTACATTCCATGCTTGTTCCCACAGAAATTGCTGTGTGACTTTGAGTAAGTCTCCTAACCTGCCTGGACCTCACAAAATAAGCAATTAGAGTTAATGATTAATGTGCTATGTTATAGCAAAAAAATATCTTTGGTTCCATAAAAGATAATCCAATTAGTCTAATACAAAGCGGTCTCAGGAAAGACTTTCTAAACAAATGTTAAGAGTAAAGACTAACAATTAAAAATTAGTGTCAAATATTTATAATAAAATCTTTCAAACTGACAAATTCCATAGGAGATGTCTTCACATAAGAAATTTAATATGAAATTACATATGAGTATGAAAATATTCACATCTCCAATGAAATTAGAAAAATTAGAAACAAAAGTTGAGAGCGGCCTGCTTGAAATAGCTGTGGTATATTCATACAATGGAATATTGTGTAACTGTAAAAAAGGAATGAGGACATTCCTTATATGTTGATATGACCGATGCCTGAGGCGCATTTTTAAATGGAATGGGCAAAATGCAAGGTGGCCGTGCTATGTCAAAAGACAAGGAAAAGGTCGTATGGGTGTAATTCTTGGTGTGTGCATAGAAAATCTCTTAAAGAATCTCAAAAAACTGGTACCACTGATTACCCGATTACCTCTTGGGAGACTAGGTCTTATTTTTTTACTATACAATATACCCCTTTTTATCTTTGGAATGTGGAAACATGTGACTATGTTACTTACTCAAATTTTTTAAAATTTCAATTAAAAGAGTAAGAAAGAGGAAAAAGGAGTAAGAAAGGGCAAATACTATTATAGACGGCTTGGGTGATTCTAATGGTTACTCAAAGCCTAACTAAAAATCCCAAGTACCACTGAGCCTATGTATAAATGGGGAAATATACCAAGAGGGTCCACATACTCCAACATGAAGATAACATCCAGCTGGTGACAGACACCTAAATAACTCCTCCCTTCAAAATCTGCACAGCCAACCCAGCATGTACTCAGCCTCTTCCTACAGCTGCAAAGCTCTGAATGGGGCAGAATTCAATCGGTCCAGGCAAGGACCACGCCAGGGATTACCCCCTCCCTCATCCATGGCACTTCCAGAAGAACACAATCAATGATTCAGGAAAAAAGGAGGATGTCCCCATCTCCAAGATAAGTTGTTCATATCAACAACTGCTTACGTTTAATTAAAGAAGCACAGGTGATGTGGAGTCGTGTTATGCCAACCTGTGGTCTGGCCACAACTTTAAAACACTTGAGGGGCGCCCGGGTGGCTCAGCTGGTTAAGCGTCTGACTTCGGCTCAGGTCATGATCACATGGTTTGTGGGTTCGAGCCCCGCATCAGGCTCTGTGCTGACAGCTAGCTCAGAGGCTGGAGCCTGCTTCCAATTCTGTGTCTCCCTCTCTCTCTGACCCTCCCCTGTTTACGCTATTTCTCTCTCTCTCTCTCTCTCTCTCAGAAATAAATAAAAAATATTAAAAACAAAAAAAACAAAAAACACTTGAAAACCAGTTTCCCAAACTATAATGTGCCTCATGGGGGTGCGGTAAAATGCAGATTCTGACTTGGCAGGTCTGGGGTGAGGCCCCGAGATTCGGCATCGCTCCTGAGCTCCCTGGGGATGCCGTCTTGCCGATCAAGACCACACTGTGAGTGTACTTCTAGAACCACTCTGACCAATATGGACACTACCAGCCACATGTGGCAACAGAGCGCTTGAAATGTGGCTAGTCTGCAACGAGTTGTGCTACACGTGTAAAACGCACACTTGGGGTTAAAAAAACAATACAAGAAAACAATGTAAACTATCTCACTCCTAATTTCCATATTGATTACATGCTAGAATGATATTATGGCCATCTTAGGTTAAATACAATCCATACTTAAAATTAACTTCACCTGTATATTTTTCCTTTGTTCACTGTGGCTACTAGAAGGTATATAATGACACATGTGGCTTGCGTTATCTTTCCATTAGATTCTACCACTCGGGGAGACTTGGCTCTCCTACAACCTGCACCTCAGGAAGTTTGGAGCAAACTGGTCATCATCCTCAAGTGTTTGCGAGGGTCTGTGAATTCTGTAGGGCCACTGAGAACTTGGACGGAGCTCACTGAAAACTCTAGCCCCCACCCACTCTAACAAATAAAACTTCTACAGGAGTGAAATCTGGGTTAAAATAAACAATCAAAATGGCCTTAACCATAGAATTGGGAGTGAAAGCATCCCAAACAACTGTAAACAGAGATTTTGCAGAGAAAACACAGCCTCAGACGTCAGTGTGGAAAGGCAGGAGGGAAGTAACCTTGGGCAGCCAGCCTTAGCCACGTCTGTATTACTTGGTCAGGGTGGGAGGGGAAAAGCCAGCTCTGCCTTTGTTCCACTGAACAGCACCGTTCCCACCAGCCTGAGTTACTTTGCAGCCCTGGCACCCCCCAAACCAGAGGTTCCTTTAAAACTGAAGGCCCAGGGCAATCACTTGGCCTTGCTGCAACCCAGACAAAGGGCTGAAGATGGCCATATAGGGGCACCTGGGTGGCTCAGTCAGGCCCCAACTTCAGATGGCGCAGAAGCATCTAACTTCAGTTCAGGTCATGACCTCGCGGTCCATGGGTTCGAGGCCCATGTCAGGTTCTGTGCTGACAGTTCAGAGCCTGGAACCTGCTTCAGATTCTGTGTCTTCCCCTCTCTCTCTGCCCCTCCCCCGCTCATACTCTGTCTCTCTCTCAAAAAAGAAAAAATAAATATTAAAAAAAATTTTTGAAGACGACCATCTGGTCAGAAGGGTTATAACAGATCAGGAGTCAAGAAAACTAACAAATTCCTTCTGCATGCCCACAAAGCAATCAGCATCACCAAGAGGCAAATTTTGAGCACAGCCTCTTCCGTTTCCATACCCAAGATGGGTTCTATTTTTAGCAAGTGGCCCTTTTCAGGTAAGATGTTCCTAAAGTTCATACACAGTAAGAGGGGGGGCGGGGGGGGGCAATACGCTCTCCTTAGAAACACAGAAGCTAGAATAAGGTTCTTTTACTTGAGGCCACAAGAAGATTATCACACAACCCCAAAGACCTATAGCTCCTTCAGCTCTGTCTGGAAAGACATTCCTCGTGGGTCTGTTCCCACCCTTGCCTGCTTGCTTTACTCCATGGAATGGCAGGAGAGAGACAAGAGGGAAGAGACACTCAGGTGAACATGCTCACAGGTTTATACACAAGAAAGGGAGAGAGGCACACCTTTGGGCACCATGGGGCAGGTTCAGTCTCCCACAAAACTCAGCTCTATAGACAAAGGAGCAAAGCAACTTCGTCCTGGGCCAACCCAGCCCTCCCCCACCTCTCCCACCATGGGCCCAGCCAAGCTTCAGAGGGCACTGACCAGGTTTTATTTCCAGCAGCCGAAGCTTTGGATCCTCAGGTGGGTGCAATCGTCTCTTCTTACGCCAGCAGCGAGCAGGGTATGTGTAGAGCTGGCCTGGGGCGAGGCCTGTGGACAGAGACATTGTAAAGGTTAAGAGCTCCAGGCTAGAAGGAGACTTGGAAAACTCCCTGTCTGACCCTCTCACTCACAGTAAGAGGAAACTGAAGTCCAGAAAGGTAAAGTGACTTGTCAAGATCACACAGCTGGTTGATGGTAGAGCACAGGCAGTATCTAGGTCATCTGACCCCAGGACTCTTGCTCTGTCTACTCTACCATGCTGTCTCAGTAAGCCCATGCCATCACCATGACTAAGACAGTTCAGATCTCCTGGGCTGGGGAGATCAAAGGGACATTTCCAGATTTAACCGCACTATAGTGTTTCCAAGGGAGTGGACCCCTAGCTATTACCCATCAACTGCTCTCCTATCCAGGTCCAGGTTAAGAAGTTTCCCTCCAAGGCAAAGCAGCAGAAGTCAGTCTGCCTACCTATAGACAGCCTGGATTGGAAGCATTTCAAGGAAACAGGATAAAGGAGCCAAATTTCCTACCTACTGGCTTTCTCTAACTGTTAGCTGCTGGCAACTCGCTAAAGCCCATGGGGGCCCTGTGCAGCCCCCATCAGATAGAAGCCTCTTCTGGTGACCATGCCTCAGACTCGTTCCTGCAGAGCCAGGATACATGTACAACCCTGCCCACTTGCCTGGGCCTTACAGGAAGAAATGGACAAGGGTCCAGTGTTTGCGCTTATAGACTAACCATCCTGTCTCTCAAGAGTCTCCATTTAGATTTGAACTCTGGCACCAAAGTTCCACACCAGCATCATCTGTCATACCAACGACCCCATGAGGATCCTTCTTGCTTATTAGACAACAGTCTTATGGCTCCTGTGGCACACAGTGTGGCAGCCAGAGGCTGAATGTGGAATATGGGTTTTCCACACTAGACAATGGTCTATTCCCAAAAAAAAAAAAAAAAAAAAAAAAAGGCAGGGCCTGGAGGCTGTGGGGAGAGGAAGAAGGGCTTAAGACCAGTAAGGCAATGTGCAGACTTAAAAAACTGCCTGATACACCCCAAAAAGAAACCAGCAAGCCAAGCAGTCCACTCCTGCTAGAGTAAAAAGCCTGGTAAAGAGAGAGACTTTATCTTATTCTCTTTCATCAGAATCCCCAGAACTAGAGCTGTGCCTGACACATAGAAGAATTAAACTAAACATTTGCTGAATGAGTGAATGAATGAATGAGCAAATGAATGCATTCCAGCTTCATTTAATTAGTCACAACTCCGTCTTCTGTAGATAAATGTGGCATGTGACAACTGTCAGACCCATGTGAGAAGGTTACTTCCTAGACCTGGGACCATGGGGCTTAGAAAATATCAGGACCCTGTTTCCATCTGCTGCCTGCCATTTGGGGACCATTTGTAGAGAAAATCTACAAACATTTCATTGCTATATATCTATCCATTTATTCATTTCTCATTTTTCCTAGTCATCTCTACCCATTTATCTGTTTGGGTTCCAAAGCAGAGGCAACTATTCCAGTACTAAAGGAACCGAAATTTTCAAATTCTCTTTATGTGCTAAGTTTCATTTTTAATTACACAGCTGCTCCCACAGGTTGCAAGTCTGTGAAGAAGATGAAGTTCCGTACCCCTCCCCATTTTAGTTCTCAGAAACCATCAAGGGTCATAGAGGCTAGAGGCTCCAGAAAATTCTCTGGTGTCATGAGCTAAGGACTTGTGGTGTCTAAGAGTCATCTCAATACTTAATTTTCTTGGTAGCTTCAGAGCTTCTGCACGGTGGGAGGATACCGAAGCTCTGAGCTCCCTGTGCTTTGAGGACCAGACTTGTGGTTGATTTGGAGAAGATTAAATGAACCAAAGTAAGACCGTTCTCCCTCCATGGAAGGTCCAGTTTTGGCCTCTCTTTAAGGGAAGACATCTCTGGGAATAGTTTAATGTTTCTGATGTGATTCACTCCATGACCCTGTCACCTCTGATCCTAGAATTCCTGTATGGCTGCATTGATTCTGATCTCTTCCCAAAGTCTGAGCCACCTCTGAGACTGGCATTCCCTAGAATCTCAACAAAGGCCAAGTACAAGGGCTGACCCAGTATTCGACAGCCCATAAACAGGTCCCATCAATCCCCACTCACCGTGGGGTAGTTATTCTTTTTTTTAAATACTTTAAATATCTTACAATTTTATTTATCAATTATATCTCAATAAAATAATAACAATAAAGAACATAAAAATCAATTATAATTATAGCAGCTTATTTATTAAGTTATGTTCAGTATTATGTCTATATAACTATTAAATACAAATTAAATGTGTTGAGATTCTGTTATTACTATATTTTTTAAATTTACTTTTTTATTTAAATCCAAGTTAGTTAACATAAAGTGTAATAATGATTTCAGGAATAGAACTTAGTGACTGACTCATCACTTACATATAACATTGGGTTAGTGATTCTTAATCCAAATTGAACCCAAAAATTACTTGGAGAGGTTTTTTTTTTTTAAATGTCTTTAAATTTATTTATTTTGAGAAACAGTGTGAGTGGGGGAGGGGCAGAGAGAGAGAGGGAGAGAGAGGCTCCCAAGCAGGATCCACGCTGCCAGCACAGAGCCCGACATGGGGCTCAAATCCACCCGTTAAACCACGAGATCATGACCTGAGCTAAAACCAAGAGTTGGACGCTTAACCGACTGAGCTTACCTGAAGAACTTCTTGATAACAACAAGGCCAAAATTTCATGTCAGAGCTACCCAATCTGAATTTAAGTGGGTAGGAGAATTAGGCCAACTATTTTTTCAAGAACCTTATAGATTGTTCCAGTGTCTGACCAAGGACCTCTAGATGTCTACACATTATCTAGTTACTGTCTAGATATTCTCTCTGATATACCAAGACTGGTTAAATGGCCTTGTCTAAAATATCTTAAGATTTCCAGTGTTTCCCCCAAGGTGTTGTCATTAATTGCCTGCTTACTAGAATGTCTCCCCTTCTGGTTTTATAAAATCCAGAATGACAGGAACTGTACGCATCTCTGGTATCCCCAGTACTTAGCACGGTGCCTTGCAGGCACATCAAGAAGTACTTATTAAATAAACTCAACCAGAGCTGAATCAGATTCAGAAACGCAGGAAGCGAACGACCTGCTATTCCTGGTTCCAGGAGATTCATACGCCCACATTCAAACCATTCAAGAGGGTCCCCAGAGACAGGCTCAGAAGTGAGCATAGAATTTACCCCCAAGATGGCAGTCTCTATGCCTTGGATTCCTTCTTGCCCCATAGGCTACTTCAGAGTATTTCCCACCTGACCAAGAGCGGGTGAGTAAGAAGGACTGGTCCCCACCAGCACTCTCAAGAGATCTAAATGACAAGAGGTCAAAACTGCAAAACACTCGCCCAGGGCCTATGCCCTCCCTGAGACTGTGGTCACTGCACGTGTTGGTCAGCAGCACCAAGGCAGCTTCAGGCCCCTTGGTTTATAGCTACAGACCCACTCACTCTCCTGGGATTAAGTAGTTTGAATGGCCAGAAGATGGGACTATTTTTATTTCATTCTTTAACTTTCTCTGATGGATTACAGAAGCCCTGCAATGCGGAGGAAGAGCATGGGTCCTCATACCACCAATCCTATAACCTTGGAAATATCACCACACCTTCCTGACCCTGTCTCCTTACCCATTAGACAAGAGTGTTAATAATATCTACCTTACACGGGCTGCTGTAGGCATTAGCTTATATTCAAGAAGAAGCTCTTTATAACCATGAAGCCTTGTGCAAATGTCAGTTATTAATTACCATGAGTTAGCCGATGTAGACGAGTCCAGACTCTATGGCCATGTAGCATGACAAAGGCCCCCATCCCACATGCCCATGCTGCTCTTTGCTCCTTTAGCCATGAGGGTATAAATAGGCCTCTCTTTGATGTCTGCTTTGACTCCACCTCATCTCAACAAGCAAATGGCCCCGAGAACTCTCTCGAGGCTCCAGCCCCCCTTTCTTGCCCTCCTCCCTAGGCTGACAAGCACCAGGGTGCCTTTATAGGGCCAATGTGTTCAGCCCTGGAGTTCCACTTATAGAGGGACGAGCATAGCCCCATGAGAGTTATGTTGTTTATCTCATTAGAACAGGAGGCACATAACTCAAAGCCTGTGTGTGTGGTAGATGGAGGGGGGAGGGAAAGGGGAGGAGGAGGAGGGAGTCACAGCTGCAGCCAGGGAAATTAACCTGAAGGAGTGAGCCTGGGGCTAAGGGGAATATGGAGGAGGGGGGAAAGGAGGCAGGAGACAAGAGCGCAGAATAGTCTTCCCTGGTAACCAAGGCCACAGCCACCCCTCCATTCACACACCCCACTGAGCAAACTGATTTTCTCTTACTTTGAGCTGCAACTCCAGTTACAACCCTCATACTCAGGTACAAACACAAGCATAACTCTCTCTCTCTCTCTCTCTCTCTCTCTCTCTCTCTCTCACACACACACACACACACACACACGAACTTACACGCTTCCTGGAGGAAGAGCTGTCTCCATAGAAAAAAAATCAGCAGGATGGACTTGGTATCTGTATGGTCAGCAGACTCCAGACAAGTCGCTTGTTACCAGCATCGATCAAGTCAGCAGGTGGACCCTAAGAGTCATTATCCTTGACAGACATGCATGAGCTATTAAGAACTCAGAAGATGGGGGCTCTTGGGTGGCTCAGTCGGTTAAGCATCCATCTGACTCTTGGTTTTGGCTCAAGTCATGACCTCAATGATATGTAGGATTGAGCCCCACATCAGGATCTGTGCTGGCAGAACCTGCTTGGGATTCTTTTCCCTCTCTCTCTCTCTCTCTCTCTGCGCTCCTCTCCCACTCATGCTCTTTCTCTCTCCTTCAAAATAAATAAATAAACTTTTTTTTTTTAATTTTTAAAAGAGGAGTGCCTGGGTGTCTCAGTCAGTTGAGCATCCTTCTTCAGCTCAGGTCATGATCTCATGGCTCGTGGGTTCAAGCCCTGCATAGAGCTCTGTGCTGACAGCTCAGAACCTGGAGCCTGCTTTGGATT